ATCAATGTTCTCAGTGCTTCTGGTTGGTGGATGCTGAATCTGAGAAACATGTCTAGGAGTGTCCCATAGGCTGATGGGGACTTTTGTCCTTTTGGGGAAGAGCAATGAGAAAAGGTTCTCTAGATCAATGGGGCTCCCTGCTAGGCTGTGTGAACTTATCTATAAAATGTGAGTTTGTGTCCTCTCTCTAAGGGCTGTTAAAAGCATTACATGAGCATGTTTGTAGACCTGCTTGTACGTGCACACACAAGGTGCTCAACTGCTGCTGCTGTTGTCATTGTCACTGTTGTTGTTGTTATTACTGCCATTCCTGCTTGCTTCTGGTTCTGTCTGTCATCTTTGCCTATGCTTTAAGCAAACCAATCCTTCTGGGCCTCAAGCAGAAGCCATCTCCCTAACCCCCATCTCCTAATCTGTAAACCTATCAGTCCCAACTCCCTGGTCCTGGGAGCAGTTGTCTTCTTATCCCTCTACCTTACGTTCCTCACAATTGACTGGCAGGTTGGCTTTTGAGTACAGGTCACTAAATGCCCTGAGCTACTGAAGAGATGTGGGGCCCAGGGTGGAGGTGAGATGCTCCGGGGCCCTGGCCCTTCCCCTTGGCACTCCAAAGCCTTTTGGGGGGGCTGCCTTCCTCTTCTGTGTCCCTTGTCTGAACCATACTCCTAGGCTCTTTGATGGGCCTAAGGGGCAGAGCTGAGGACATGCAGTGCCAGTCCCTAGAATATGACTTGGTATGAAGAGTCTGAGGCCTGTGTTCAAATCCCTATTACTCCTCAGCTATGAGAAAAATTACCTAATCTCTCCAATGCCTCAGTTTCTTCATCCAAAAAAAAAAAAAAAGGTGTAATTGTACCTATCTCATAGAATTGTTGTGAGGATTTTTGAGTTAATAAATGTAGTGTGGTTAGGAACCTTGCTGGTATGCCCTATGTAATCATTAGCTATTATTACTGTGTGACGTAATTTACTTCTCACATGCATTATTATCTGTAGTAAGTAGGTATTATTACTCTCATTCTACAGGGGGACAATATGAACCCTATATTTAGGCTAGAAAGCTTTTTAAAAAACATGTAATTCAAATCTGATTGTCTCTGATTCTACAAATCATGCCAGGCAGAGTGGCCTAACTTTGTAGCTATGGGACAAAAACATTTTAGGGCATGACTTCTGCAGGTCTCTACCCAATTCATACCTTCAACAGGTGAGTGCACTGACACTAGATTGGGGGCTGGAAACTGGAATCTCTCTAGGCAAACAGACATCTTTTGGCCTTAGCCTCTTCTCTCTGTTTAGTATTTGCTCAGAAATAGACCTTTCTTCCCCAGATCTGTACCAGGTCAAATACTTAGAACACTCCGATTGTCTTAACCTATGAGCCCCTGAGAAAAACATAATGATCTGACAACCACCTGCTCACACTCTTGCTTTCCAGGTCAGAAGTCATGGTTCCAACGATCTCACTTATTTATACTCATTCGGCACTTTAAACATATTTTAGTTGCCATCAATTAAAAACGGGAGATTTCATGTAAAAATTCCAATTTCTGCCTTCTCTTGAAAAAGCAGAAGTATCTGCCAACATAAACCTGCCTTCTACATGGTTGCCAATGGCCAGAGCTAGGAACCAGGATATAGGACTTTCTAGCTTGCCACAGTCCTCACCACTCTCTATTGTCTCTCTCATCCTACAGCTACAGCTGCCACTTGTAATGATGTTTGCTGTCGCTACTCATTTCTAATAACACCTTTTTCATTCATATCGCTTGGCTGGTTCCTGTAGACAAAAGATTTGTGACTCTTGCTATTCTAGGAGTTTCCATCAAACAAACATGTATTTGCTTTTATAAATAGTTATGAAATCTTTCCTCCTATTAAATGAATTTTAGGCACCAAGTAGTTGATTAAAATGTTGACTCTTTGAAGGCTTTAAAGGCAAACTTGACTGTTACCTTAGAATATCCTAGGGAGGGTGGGCAGAAAAGTCACCTGCCTCCTTTCTCCATTCCTAGGCAGGTTCCTCCAGATGTGAAAGGGGTCCAACCTCGAGGAGGCCAGAATAAGAGATGTGCAAGGAGAGATGGACAGATGGATGAACAGTGGTACCCCCTTCATCAGCTCCTCTGTAGATTGGAGGTCCTTTTTTTTCTATGGGTCTTTGGAGACCAGGCTGCTCATAGAGGCTTTCTCTTCACCCCCGCCCACATACTGGCATGCTTGTCTTAGCCTGACTCCTGCTTCCTGAACCAACCCCAAGCCTTCCAACCACTGAGTTTATGCTTTCAGGCACATTTGACCTTATTTTATTCCATATATAATTATCTTTACCCGATATCTTGAAATACACCCCTAGGTCTTATTTATGAATTATGCTCCCTTTCTGATTATTCTGACAAAAAAAAATCACTTATGTGTTTTCTATCTTTAGAGGCACATTGTAAACTCTGTATGCCGTGAGCCAGGATGGCGCATTAAAGAGTCCCTGGTGCTCGTTGCTCTACCTGTTATGTGGGGATATGACAAACTGTATGAGCCATAAATGGCAACTTCCTTCTGGAATCCTGAAGCTGCATAAGTTCAGCCCTGAGAAGGTCTGAGGCCAGCTTGTCCACAGGCCAGAGCTGTTGCCACAGTAGTATCATAACAATCTTTAAAAATAGATCACTTTTGAAAGCAGAGCAGATTTCCTTGTAAGCCCAGCACCAAATCTCTGGGGCTCTTAACAGCTGTGTTTGAATGAAGATCAGCTACATTTAGGAGTCAAGATTAGAGGAAGGCTGGGGCATAGAAACCAAAGGGTGCTGGGGAAATCAGCAGAGTAGCATAGCTATAGAGCAGCAGTTCCCAACACTTTTGGCACCAGGAGCTGGTTTCAACGCAAGACAAGTTTTCCATGGATGGAGGTGGAGGAGACAGTTTTGGGATGATTCAAGAGCATTACATCTCCACCTTAGATTATCAAGCATTAGATTCTCATAAGGAGCCGCAACTTAGACCCCTCACATGCACAGTGGGTTCGTGTCCCTATGAGAATCTAATGCTGCCGCTGATCTGACAGGAGGTGGAGCTCAGGCAGTGATGCCAGCAATAGGGAGTGGCTGTAAACACAGATGAAGCTCCATTTGCCCACTTGCTGCTCACCTCCTGCTGTGTGGCTCTGGTCCTAACAGGCCAAGGACAGTCTATATCCAGGGGTTGGGAACAGCAGCTATAGGTGTTCATATAAAAGAAGGAAGGTTTTCTGGAGGGCCCATGTCACAACTCAGTCCACCTGCTCACCTATCTAGAAGGCAGCTAGTTTGCAGACCCAGATACCTGGGATAGGAAGAGAAAAAGCTTGTTCTCACCGTGGTGCTTGGACCACCCAGAAGCGAGGGCAGCATGGGCGACAAAGTATGCAGAGTCCGCTGCTTCCTCTTGAGAGGGGTTTCTGCTCTGGATGATGAGATGTGCCTGTCATCACAGAAAGAAGAAACATGTTGTTAAGATGCTTGGCAGCAGTAACAAAGAACTACCTGTCCTTATAACAGCAAGCAGAAATTCAAGGAACTTTCCAGAAACCTGGAAGAAATGATTTATGTGAAAGTGCAATTAACTCTCAGCAGAGCTGTTTTCAAAAGCAGTGAACAATGCAGAAAACACTGGACACTGAATCCAGATGGCTCCTTGCTATGGCTAAGTAAATCATTTAAAAGTCTATGATCCTTTGAGTCCAGTGTCCGTGAAGAGGAGGCAGCAGTGTTGAGAAGTAAGAAAATGAATAAAAAGAGTCAGTGCTGTACAGAGGATGTAGCAAAGCCCAGCCCCACTGCCTACTGGAGGGACCCCAAAGTGGGACCTACCACCCACAGGTGCTGGTGGCCTGCCCCACAGAAATACAGACCCCTTCCTTGCCTTATGCCCCAGGCAAATCTGCCTGCATCCTTTGCAAACTGGCCCATGGCAGCTGACTGAGCACAAACAGGAGCTCAGTTCCTTGAAAATAAAGTCCATTCAAATAAACAAAAAATATGATCATATGAACATAAAATAATAATAATCCTCCCATAAAATACAAAATACATCTTTTCAAAAAAGGAAAAAAAAGATAAAGTCATTGCTCATCTCCCTGTCAACATTTAGAGCTTTAAAAAAATGCTATTAAGGATGCACTCACATCCATCCAAAAACAGACCCTCACATACTGCCTCGTACAGAAGAGGCATGAGCTAGAAATGCACAGGCAGCACAGAAAGATGAGATGCGGCAAAGTGATGCAGGCACTAATGTAAGTCCATAGGTAGCCGGCAAGTTGTTGCCAAAAGAGTGACAAAAATTATGAAATACCACGTGTTTAAAGGAGGGAAACACCAGATTGGGACAGACAAAACACACTAGCAACAACTAAGAACTAAGCTGCACTTTAATTCTTTTTTGTGATACTGATTTTGATTTTCTGGGTTTTAAAATTTCAGATTAATATGAGGTTACAAACCATTAGGTTACATGGTTTGCATTTGTTAGGTAAGGTCCCTGTTGTAGTTGTGCCCTTCACCCGGGAGGTGTGCCATGAACTCTTACATTGTGCCTAGTAGTTGACAGCACACCAGCCCCCACCTTGCCCCCTGCTCTTCACTCCTCCCCCCTTCCCCAACGTGAATTTAATTTAGTTTTTCTTTTGTGTGGGCATGTTATTTGTTCATTTACTGGCTTCATGTTAGTATTGAGTACATTGGATACTTTTCCATTCTTGTGATACTTTACTAAGGAGGATTTTAATTTTCTTGATAATTTTTATTGTCTTCATCTGATAGATGAGAAAACTGAAATTGCTAAAGGGGTGGCTTGCCCAAGATATCTCACCGCTAGTAAGAGTTGGAGATAAGAGTCTGACCTCGGAACTCTGACTTCAAATTCTGCTGTTTTCTATCACATCCTGAATATTGCCATTCCTCCACCCTCACCTGTGGTGGCAGACATCACTAATCAATGCCAGCATAGTGCCCAGGGACCCCTGATTCAGTCTCCAGGAGCTAGGACTCATCAATAGGAACAGGCATAGGAGATGAAGTCATTCTAGTTGAACATTCCAGCCTGGACCAAGCACTTCTTGCTCCTCTGATGAAAAGCTGAATCCATTTCTGAGACTGTAATTAGGGTAGGAGTGTCATCTTTGACTCAAGACTATCCCCTCCTTTGTCTGTTCCATGTTAAAATCTGCTTTGCTATTAGCTCTAGACTTTTTATGATTGGGGATGCTCCAAATTAATATTGCTGATGAGAACTTTTATTGCTGCACTAGAACAGTTACAATTTCTTCTTCTTAAATGCTAACAATATCCTTTGCTTTAAAACTACTTTTCTTATTACACCATATGAAGAATTGAATAAATGGTTTCAGCAACATCAAATTTGTCCTTGTCCTTGATTTGGCATGAAAGGCCCGATCTCAAGCTCTGCCTTGAAGTGCTTTTCAAATAATGGGCCCTCTGACATGCAGTGCCACCTACGGATAGACAATAGGAGCCACAGGGACAGTCAAACCAGTATGTGTGCAGTGTTTAGAGAAAGGAAATGAGAGGAAATGCCTTCCTACCTCCAAAAAAAACACTGAATGCAAACTGAGCCATGTTTACTTTGTATTTTCCCCTTGGTTAACTATCCCTAGATTTGTTGTTTGAAAAGAATAATCACTGTATTCGGCCAGAAAAAGTTTAACTCCTATTGTTCAAAGACGTAACACAGAGTATTTTAGATGACTAAAACCCAAATTTAAAAGATTTTCTTTTCTTTTTTTTTTTTGCAGTTTTTGGCTGGGGCTGGGTTTGAACCTGTCACCTCCGGCCTATGGGGCCAGCTCCCTACTCCTTTGAGCTGCAGGCGTCACCCTCAAAAGATTTTCTAACTTGTTTCTATTTAGTATTGATTCAAGAAAATATAACAAATATATGTCTCTCTTTTTTTTTTCTTGAGACAGAGTCTCGCTCTGTAGCCCAGGCTAGAGTGCCAGGTGTCAGCCTAGTTTGCAGCAACCTCAAACTCCTGGCTCAAGCAATCCTCCTGCCTAAGCCTCCAGAGTAGCTGGGACTACAGGCTCTCATTGCAACACCCAACACTGGGTTAATTTTTCCATTTTTAGTAGAGATGGGGGGGTCTTGCTCTTTTTCAGGGTGGTCTGGAACTCCTGAGCTCAAGGGGCCTTCCTACCTCAGCCTCCCAGATTGCTAGGATTACAGGTGTGAGCCACTACACCCAGCCTAATAAATATATGTCTCTAAAAATTGTTTTTAAATTAACAATTACATATTCTGAAAGTACTGTAAGTTGCTTTTTGCCCTAAAGATAGAAATTCTAGCAAAGTTTTCTAAGAGCAAACCTGCCCACACTAACAAGAAAATGAATTTATCACAAAATTTTCATGACCTCAACATTTTTCTACATGAGATCCTAAGATAAGCAAATACTTATTATTCATTTCAGAAGTTCAATCCCTGATCCAATTTATTATTTGATGTTCATGAAGCTTTTACAGAACATATGCTAGAGGGAGGGAGGGTCGCCCATGGTGTTTAAAATACAAAAAATTAGCATCTCATCTATTCAGTAAAATTCAATGCAATTCAGTTTAATTTAATTTGGTTTTATTCAATTCAATTTATTTTCATTTTAAAATGCTTTCCACATGTCAGATATTGTGCTAACACTGGCAGTTCATGGAAATATTAGGCACAGATACTGGTTTTAATGGATAAAATATGAAATAGTTTCATTTTATATAGACCCACAGATACTGTCCTTCATTAGGTTTTAGCACTGGACTCAACAACTTCCTCTCTCCTTGCTCCCGTCATCATTTTCATGGATTCCAGCATCCATGAGATTGGCAGGAAAGAGATGGTCCACATAAACAGGTTAATCACAGAGGTCAAAAGAATGTTTCTTGGCACAGAGGAAACCCAACATGGCTGTGCAGGACCCTAGAGCAAGGTGCTGCACCACCCTCAGTTGGGAAAGAAAGGGAGAGGGCGTTCGCTGGAACTGGAAGGATGAATCGCAGGTTAAGAGCAGGGCTTACAGTAGAGGGATGCAGCCCACCTGCAGGGACTCCACAGGGAGGGCTGGGGATGGCACCTTATACTCACTCCTTCCATTGTCTAGGCTATGTGCCTGTCAGTCAGAGGTCAAGGGCAAGAGCACTGAGACAGTATTTAAAGTTAGCCTCTGGGGCACAGAGCAGGGCTGAGAAGGACTCAGAGTGGAACTCAAGCAGACAACAAGAATGCCCAGCAAATGACCTTGTTAACACCTTGGACTCTCAGGTTTTTGACAGATTCATTTTCCTCTTTACCCTCAGCTGTCCAGTCCCCTAATCACACTTCATGCCTCATTCTTGCTTAGTCTGTGCCACCTTTGAGTCCTCTAGCTCACAGACTCATTTTGACTATTGGGAAGATCTGGCTTTCTTGTGTCCATGCAGCTCCGAGGCCCCCACTCCATTGCCCCGATGTTCTCACCAGCCATCCACTCCCTGCTGTCCACCTGTCCAGCTAACCATGCACCATCCATTGTATACATGGAAAATGCCCTCAACTCCACTGAAGCATTATTGAAAATGGTGAAAAATGGGTGCCCATTTAAATATCCATCACCAAGCGAACAAATACACTGTGGCCTACTTTACAGGGATTGAACTCTCTCTACATATATCAGTACAGGTCTATCAAAGGCATATCACTGAGTGGAAAAAGCAACTTGCAAACAGAAGCAAACACCATGGTACCACTGACTTCAAAGTTCTTTTCTTGGAGCAGAAGAACCCAAACAAAATCTTTCATGGTTCCCTGAAACACGCAGCAGGTAAATGTGGGGCTGCTCTTAAGGAAGCCTGCTCGTTCCCACTGGCTGCCCCAGAAAAACCTCCCTGGGACATGAGGGCTCAGGGCGACACAGACTGAGAACCACAGAATGAAGGCCCTGGGCAGTCAGGCCGCCTTAGGGAGGCAGTGCACAGGAGGTTGACAAAGCTAATGATTACACTACATACAATCTTGCCAAACTCAAGCACTTTTCACAATTCTGGAACAATGCTGCTTTTGCAAAGAGAATATAATCACCCTGTTATGTGCATCTGAGAGCATTTAAAGGCCAGGAATCACAGTTAACAGAATGACAGGAGACTTGCTTGCCTCTCCTGGCTTTCCACTGGAGCCTAAGTAATGAGCCGACCAGAGATCCATCTTTGACCACACTCACGCCTTTGTCTCATTATTTATTAATCTCCCTAGGGCTCAAGTTTCCCCTCACATCCTTGTTGTTTTCAATACCTTGTGGTTATCTATTTGTCAACTATCTTTTTGAAGTGGAGGAAGAATGTATAATACCTCCAACTAGCATGTTGGACTGGGTAAGGAAACAAATAAACCTGATATCCCATATTGAACAAGGTTATTATTTCTAAAAAAAATTATTTGTAA